TATTAATCTTCTCATCTATCTCTGAGCAAAAGAGTGAATAAACATTTCCCCTGACATTAATCTGCTCCTTTAATAGTTATAGAACGGATATGTAAAACTACTTAAATAAGGTTTTACGCTGTAATAAACTGGAATGATCCATTGACAGCTAAATGAACTTTTAGTTTACACACACAGAGACTTGCAGACGTGCACATGCTGCCTTTTCACGGGGTGTAAACAAAAGCAAACTCTCCCCACAATAAGCAGCTCAGACCCTGCCCTGGTTGCTACACAATAGAAAGAGAGACCTGAGACACACAGAGCAGAGATTCCCAGGAAAACAGTCCAAACTGATACTCCGAACGCCTGACGACAACACACAAAAAAGAGACAGGGCAGTGTTATCTATTCACTTGCAACAAGTGGGTCCAATCGAGCCGTCACACACACTGTAAGGAAAACTGAGACAGGAGGAAAACTAGCATCGTGTTACTATTGTATCTGGTGGTGAACTGGATTTTTGATGTCAAATTGTTTCAAGTAGTGTGTGTGTGTGTGTGTGTGTGTGTGTGTGTGTGTGTGTGTGTGTGTGTGTGTGTGTGTGTGTGTGTGTGTGTGTGTGTGTTTGTGTGTGTGTTTTTGTCATAGCCTACCTCTGGTGACAATTTTCCGACTAAACACCAGTTAACTGGGGACAGCTTGTCCAACTGGGGACAAAAGCCGTGTATCCAGTTTGGAAAAAGCAGATTTTTGGGTCAGTGGTTAAGGTTAGGGTTAGAATGAATGCCAGTCTCTGTGATGACCTTTGACAGTCGGTGTGTGTGTGTGTGTGTGTGTGTGTGTGTGTGTGTGTGTGTGTGTGTGTGCCAGTTTATAATCAATGTTTATGACCTCGCTGTGGATCTTGTTGTTTGAATGTGAATCTGTTGTGTGTCATCTACCATTCTATCTCTCCCTACTCTCTCTCTCTGATGTTTCTTGTTCTGACCTTGTACTTTACACAAAAGCAGCATTCTCCACTTTGCGACAAGCTAAAGTTAATGCTTATGTAGAAGGTAGAAGACTGTGCTGTGTGTGTGTGTGTGTGTGTGTGAGAGAGAGTGAGAGAGAGAGAGAGAGAGAGAGAGAGAGAGAGAGAGAGAGAGAGAGAGAGAAAGAGAGAGAGAGAGATGTGGGTCTAATAGATTCTAATTGGGTCTTGATGAGTGAGCAAGATCACACTGGGATCAAGATATGTGGACACCCCTGTCCACATATCTTTGTCTAGACGTTGCCTAGGCATTTTTTATTATTATTGATTTGTTTTTTCATTTAGGTTTTTTGGTCTTTTAATTAACATTTTTTCTTGACATTACATTTTTATTGATTTTGAAGAAAGGGTTGATACATGGCATCTAGTAGTAAATGGTGTGTGTGTGTGTAAAAAAAACAGCCAGACCTGAATCATAGCAGCCAGGGCAGCATTCCTCTAAAGGAGTTTCCTGCACAGCTAGTCCAAAACCCTCATGTAGGAAATGAGGAATGACTAAGTTCAATGACTAATGATATAAGTTTTACATACAAAAGTGAAAGACCAGGTCCACGATATAATAAAAACAAAACCTGTCACATCCACATAAAACTAAAAGCCACTTTTCACATGTCAATTTTTACCTTGAATCAATGGGACTCATGGGATGCTATCCCTACTACTACATTTACCCAATGTTTTAAACCCTGTGCTTTAGCTATTTAACACCTCAAAACAGTTCTGGAGGCTGTGATCATACCCACCATAACATCTAAGGAATTACTGAACCAAATCATCCACTCAGGGCCTCAACAACTTTCAACAAATATTGTCTCAATAATGTAAATTTCAAGCCACCAGGACACCCATACAATAACATTTTAGACAAAAGTATATTTCCATTGCATTTATGGAAACCATTTAGGTTCCTTTCTGTTTCAATGTGACAATGTTGATGCACAAAAAGCCAGTTAAAGAAATGATTTCCCAGTTTGGTGTGGAAGACCGTGACTGGTCTGCACAGAGTTCTCAATCCAGTTCAACAACTTTGGGTTGAACTGGAACGTCAACCATGACTGATCGTTCAACATCAGTGCCCAACCTCAGTAACGCTCTTATATTTAGAGGAAAGCCCTCCCAGGAGAGTGGAGGCTGTTGGAGCAGGTTATTAAAGTCCATAGTCTTGATATGAGATGTTCAACAGCCGAGTGTGGGTGTAATATTCGGGTGTCCATATACTTTTGGCCATAGTGTGTAGCACACAAGGCCCTTTTTTCACAGTCGATCAACTCAAGGTCAGTCAAGTGGACAACACACACACACACACACACACACACACACACACAAAAAAGAAAAGTGGAAATACTGTGTGTGATTGACACATTAGTGTGTGAAGTTGAAGGGTTGTGAGTGTGTAGGTAAATTGATTAAGTAAAGAGTGAGAAACAAAGAGAGAGAAACTCCTTGCAGCACCGTACAGCTTCCCGTAAAGATTAGACCTTTATTGAGAAAATTCCAGGTCGGCTTACAGCCGCACGACCCGCCGTCTCCAACCAGGCCGATTATTGAATATGCCGTTACACACACAAACACACACGCACACACACACACACACAAACCCAACACATGCAGAGCAACTGGAGCCCTGTTGTGAGGCGACATTGATGACGCGTGTTGGATGGGATAATCTCTCCAGCTGTACTCTCACCCGTGGAGAAGTGAGGCTCATTTGGGCCTAGAAAACTCACTGAGGTTTTTTTTTTTTTCCATACACTGATGAACCCCTTCCTGCTTTTTTTTCTGGCAACTTCTGTAGCTTATACTGAGCACTGGTAAACTACACAAATCCACTTCATCTGGCCTCTTACTACTGAATAAGAGACTAGGTTCAAGTCTGCTCGAGCTGTTTTTCAAAACAACAGCAGAAAGACTGATGTGAAGAGTCTCTTTAGTCAGAGCAAACACAGGCCAGAGAGTGGCTTTGAAATGGGTAACACACACAGGAATATGGCTGCACTGCAACCCTGGTAAACCTCAGAAATGTGTCTCCCTCTGTTGGTCTTGTAAAGACGTTACATGGCTTTTATTTATGGCATCAGTTTAAAGAGGAGATGCTTTTCTTTCAGGCAGGACTATGACTACTAGTCTTTTCCTGAAGCAAGAAAATGTCCTGATTTCTTAACACTGGTCAACCTGGTTCATTAACAGTGACTGTGAGTCTGGAATTCAAAGTGGTCGTAGTGAAGAAGTTGTAACGCTCACCAGTGAAAACTGACATTCATGGTGGTAAAGAAGAGTTTGAAGTGATCATTTCAGCTGCTGATTTTACAGAATGATCACAGCACACTTAAATAAAACAGAAAAAGTGCAACATACATTTATATATATTCATTTCTATTTTGACATACAGCAGCCTACATATATTTTGTAGGCAAGGCGAGGCAGTGTTATTTATATGGCACATTGCAGGTAAACTCAATGTGCTCATTAACAACTTTGGTTAAATATTGAAGTGTTAGGATTAGTGTGAGGCAGAAAAAAATTATTTTATTCTGGATCATGGATCAGGGGTTTTGTCATCGACATGGCTAAAAGTAAAAATTTAATTCTGAAGAGAAAAATATTTACTGGAGAGCAAATGTGACAAATAATGCCTGTTTAACCAGTTTGGCTGCCATGACAGTCCTTATGGTGAATTAGAAGATGGACAACTGAAGACTGTCAGTGTTGCAACTGGAACTTTCTGACTCAGCATCGAAAGAGACGTCAGCCTTGTCAAGGGAGTCAGTAAAAACTCCAGGAAACTGCAATTCAGGTTTTTCCATTCTCTAACCTGCTCATGCTCAACATGTTACATATTACTCACCATACAAAGCCTATTATTTCTGTATTTATGTTTTTACATCACTGATCATTTCAAATTGGTAAAACTTGCTTCTATTCAACGTTGTTGTGACATGTAGGATGACATTTCCTTCGCAACATTTGGCAAGAGTAAAAGGTTAAGTAAATTAGTGCATGTGTCCTCACGCAGTGCTTAGCTAATATAAAACATTTTGTGTGGGAGGGAATGCGAAAGCACAGTGGGAACCAGTGCTGCACGCTCCCTATAGGGACATGCACACAAGCTTGTATGTCAGAGGTATAATTATTATCAATAGGAAGGGCAAGTTTTGACAGGAGTTTTCCCCTCCGCCACGGCAGCATTAAGTACAACACTGAGTATACATGTGTAAATATATGCCTGTTGGTATGTGTAAGGATATATGTATATGCATGAATGTATATGTGCATATATGACCATGCATACATTGTTTTGTATTGTGTGTATCTGTATGTTTTTCACGCAAAACACAAACAGGAACCGACTTTCCACCCTACAGCACAATCTATCTATCTATATTATCATTAGCAGGAGTTACCTGTACTATGTCACGGTGTTCAGTAGGGGGCAGTGTCAATCAGATCTGCCTGTGACACCTCACTGCCATCACTCATGAGGAGACAGTGCAGTATGAATAGAGGTTACAGCAGGTCCAACTGGTCAGACATAGTTCTGTATACTGGCACGTATCCAATGCTGTCTTTACAAGCCAACACACTACATCAACATACACAGACACACACTCATAAACACACACAGTAACTGCCCGTCAGAGCAGGTGACCATTGTGATCCCTTCTATCTCAGTCCTCATGAATGGATCCACAGATAAAAGAGCCTCAACATCTAAACCGGCCTATTACAGCTGCCAGTCTCATAACAGTGACGACACATGATAGTAACTTATAAATGGTCAGGAGTTGTCATATGACGAGTACATTATGTATTTTTTACTGTATATCTGTCACAGAGATAAAAGGCCTCCTTCATTATCATATTGTTGCCATGGCATTTCAAACTCAGGACTCTCCAGAACAAAACCATGCATGCAAAGAGGTGATGAGTGCATGACAGGCTCTAGTTCATTGGGACAGAGTGTGATACCCGGTGCACAGTAGGGAAACAGTTTCAGAGCAGAAACCAGCTGCATTTCCTTGAGAATATGAGCTGTGTTGTTCCCATGAGGGGGATTCTGAATGACAAAGGTAAGACCTGCTATGCAATTTTAAACAGCCCATCATCGTCTATGCAGATTACACTAAGCTGCTGTAGCCTTTTCTTCCAGTGCTGCTCTTCTAAAGTGGACTTAGAGTTTCTCCTGTGCCGGACAGGAAACTGCTTCACACTCATTAAATCACTGCTGTTTGATATTCATTAATTTATTCCATTTGCACTGACATGGCTTTATTGGACACGTTGCACATTTCTGGTCAGTTCCAGCCTTCATTCGCACTTAAACATTGATGAGTGCTGTAAAAGCCGATTACACTCTATCTGTGTTTCTCTCTATTAATCCAGTTTAATTAGAGGCTAGTGGTCCCTGCAAACTTTTGGATGTTAATCCTTAAGTCAAGTGATGTCACCAAGTACCCACACACTACTGGTTCAAACTGCATCCTGCAAAACTCATATGTGTGTGTGTGTGTGTGCGCGTGTGCGTATGTGCATGTTTGAGAAGCAGCTGCACAGGGATGAGTGAAGCAGGTCACTGAGAGGTGGACCTTTGTCCGGGGTCGGACAGCAGCCTATTATTTATTCATGCTGATGTATCTGACCGGCCACCTAATTGCACCAGGAGGAGCCCAATTACCCACAGAGGCCTAACAGCCGCACTGTCTCACATTCAGAGAAACTGGAAGGTGGATCACATGTCAGCCATGACTGATGCCATGCGTCTTATTTACATTTGCAGAGCTCAGGTTCAACTCTGTAAACAAACAAAGTGTGTGTCTGTTTAGATGCTCATTGGTTTAACAGCGTCCGGCTGGAGCAAGAAGGAGAAACAGACATATGTGCTGAGGGAGAGGCTGAAAGTTGTTTACAGGAGTGCTTGACAAGTGTTTGGTTTATTTGCTGTGATCATGGCAGACAAAGGTAAGGTCTGGTAGTCTGCTGTTTTTTTATTTTTCGTTGTTTGTTTTTGTTTATTACACATACAAACTCATATCCACGCACCCTGCTACAGTGGGCTCCAGCAAAGACGTGAATTCGAGCTCTGTGACGGAGGAGATCCAACATGAAGACCACGACCGGCAGACCAACAAGGAGCCCCCCTCATTTCTACTTCCTCTCCCTCGTCTTCTTCCATCTTTACCTTCACCAGGTAAGACACAGCTCTGAATCTTTCAATATGTTATCTCACACTGAGGAATTTTAATCATATACAAAAGAATTCAGCCTTATTTTCTAGTGCAGTGTGAGGGGTCTTCATATTCTTACGTAAGAGTGTGTTTTGTGTGGTTTTACGCTGATCAATCATATGACGATAAAACATTTAACAATCACTCGGGGCTTTTATTGTGGAAAGACAGACAAGGCTCTCTAGAGTCAGGTTGCAGTCACCTATAGCTGAGCTGTACGCACCAGATGAAGCAGAAAGAAGAAAACAAAGCAGCCATCCAACTTTTGAAACTTTATCCTAAAGTTAGAGTTTCAATCCTTCTACTTTCATTTAGTAATAGGCCTTTTCCACAGAAGATACTTTGATGTGTCCCTGTAGGAAGTAAATAATGAGGTCGGCATTTCATTTACATAGTTGCTTCAGTTTCAGGGTCAAGTCAAGTTCATATTCTATTGCTAGCGCACATTTCATACACAAGGCAACACAATTTGCTTTTCATGAAATGAACAAAATTAATGAGTTCTAGTATTGTGCACACTGGCGCACTGTCACACTGTCATGGCTTAGTGGGACACTTGAACGAAACACTATTTTCCTCTCCTTCTCCTAATTTCTCTTTCCTCCTTTCATGACATTTCCTGACATCGCTTCTCCAATTTGTTCCAATAATCTATCTTACGAACTTCTTTACCACCTTATTCCTTACTCCCTTTTTTCTTGCTCATTCTTCCTCTCCCCGCAGTCTCCCCACCGTCAGATCAGGCCTATCTGCAGGCATCGGCCATTTTCCAGCAGCTGCGTGAGGAGAAGCCAGTCGCACTTCAACTTCTGCATTATGGGAAGAAAACGGACACGCCACTACCAGAGAGTGGAGACAAAACCACACAGAGACGGGCCTACCAACTCGCCTTCAACACACTCAAATGTACGATTACTCTGTGTATGAATTCCTGAAGTCGCTCATATTGTTTTAGCAGTTAAGGGTAAATTTAGTTTTGAGATTCAAGAAGTGCCTGGAGAGGACAGACTCATAGTTAAACATAAAGTCAGGGAAAATTTAATTTGAACCCCTCTACTGCTACCTCTGCAGACCCTACCCACCTCCCATTAGGCAGCCTTATCTCTATAATGAATAGCAGTGGAGCTGCAGCATGTGTCTACTCCAATATTCACTTTTGAATAGCAGCTTCAACTGCAGACTGTAGATTAAATAGTATATAGTCATACATTTTTTTTTATCCATGTGATTCCAAATTACTTGAGCTGGAGGTGCAGCAGATGCCTGTATTGGAGGTGATAAGGAGGTGCATGCCATGAGCAAACACACACTCGGACTCATACAGTAACCACACATAGTTCTGCATACAGTATCTGAACACACATGTAGGAGGTGGCTGCTCTGTAGACATGCAGTTAGTTTTGTTTTTATTCTGTCAGGTGTGAGAGATGTTGTTCTCAGAGATGTCTGCAGCCAGCTCAATACAATAGAGGTCAACGGGCTGAAAAATAACTTTTATACTTACAATGGGTCAAAGTCTATTCTCATGTTACCCTCAGCACTGCAAACCATTTTAGCATCTTTCAGCTCATTGTTGGTTTGGGTCACTGTCTCCATTCTCATCTAACCCAAATCCAGCTGTATGCAGCTGTTTTCACCAAAAAAAAAAAAAAAAAAAAAGCACCAAAAATCTGTTACTAGCTCCACACCAAACAGCAGACAGCCACCATTAGCAAGAAGCTGGAGAATATAGCGGAGAAGGTAGCAGCTAAAGAGCCAGATATTTCCCTCAGGAGTTGTTGGAGAACAATCCAGAGCTAAAAAAAAGTGAATACTGGATTAAATAGGCAACTGTTTGCTGACATGTTAGCCATATCAACTGTACATATACGTAATGCATCAGTGTTGTCTTTTCAGCTTGTTCTTGCGACCCAATAAAAACAATGAAGGCTGTTTTAAAAAATAAAAATTCAAAAAATTCAAAAGCGTCGTGTTGACCTTTAAATGTGGCCAAATGAGGAGACTCAAGCAGAGATCTTTAATTAAGCATGGAGTGCAGTAGATTGACAAAAGATCAACATCTTGCCCAACCTCAACTTAAATACCCTCCCACTGACCAATTTAGGCGGACTAAATCATTGATGGGTGAGTCTGCTTCTCAAACATGGAACAGACAGGAAGTATAAATTGCCCCTGACTCCACACTAGACTCTATTGATTGGTGAAGAGGATACAGGTGAGATAAACATTGCGAATGTGTTAGCAGTCCTTAGTGTACCACCGAATAACAGACGGCCATCATGCCTGCTTAAGGTACTCGCCTGACTGCTACTCTCTGTTCATGCTTTGTGCAAGACTGACTTCCATGGCTGCCAAGAACTGCAGGCTGATCAACCCTCCTATGTTGCACAAGCACAAACATTAATTCACACCCTGATGGAGGATAATCTCCATCACAGAAGCTACTTTCAGAGTAAAGGGGGCACTATTTTTGTGATAACTTAATTTAAATGTCACTTTTTTGTTGCTATGAGAACTTCAAACAAAATTACATTTACCTTATTTCTCCCGGAGTGGTACTACATACCTGAGAAGACACGGCGTGACAGCACATGAAATCCAACTGCTGTTTTAATTGTTTCTGTCCATTAACAACATTGTTTTGTTTTTTTTCTTCTAGACCAAGATTTACTCGAGGACATCATCATTGACAGCTGTTTCCACACCTCTCAGCATATTGTGAGTCCTGCCAGATTTTTCATGAGTGGTATCAAACCCAAAACTGATTTAAAACCCTTTAGCGTTTACTCACTGATTGTTAAACTATCTGGGAGTTATCTGTTGTCAAATGAAGTAGCTGTGCTCTCTCCGTCCATATGAGTGTGCTCCATCAGAATATGGTAAAATGCTGGCGAGGGAGACGGGGATGCGGTTAAAGGCCATTTGTATTCAGATCTGTGCGTAGTCTGGCCAGTTATAGGTGGCAAATGATGCATACAGGAGAGAGACAGACGCACTATCCAACTGGGAGACTGTAAATGACACTATAAAACACTGCGCAATGACAAATACATGGACAAAAAGAGGCACACTTAGCTTGTGTGGGTGTGTGCATGTGTGTAAATGATGACTTTATTGAGGGATGGGTGAAACATAGAGAGAGGTCGTTAGTCTGCAAGTGTGACTATAAAAACTGCCACACAGCTGCTTGTGATTCCACACACACCTTTACTGCAACATACATATTCTAACGCCCACACACCCCCTGAGAAAAGAGGTTAAGGGGAAAAGATAGCCATAAGGCAAAGATGGGAATGTCTCATCTTCTGTTTTCCTTAATGCGATTATAATCAATATTGTTGTATTAACAATAAATCGACTACCTGCATATGAAAGGAAACATGCAGACAATTACCACCTGACTGCAGTTCAGCTCTACAGAGAATTTTAGTGTCTTTCTTATTGTTTTGGTGGAGAAAGTGATTCTGAAGAAAGACTGTTTATATTTCAACTCAACAACAAAACAAATACGCCCCTCCCCTCAGTGCTCCGTCAGAAGGTCCACCCCCTAAATTCATGGATGAATGAAGACACACTGGCAGAATGGCAGGCTGTTACCAACACTCTCTATGTGCCTGTCATTCAGGGTGTAGCACAGGCCAAGTGGATAAATCCAGGGTGGAATTTATTGCAGTCTCCACCATTGGAGAGCCTCACCGATGTTAACGCTGCTCTTCGCCCTTGCCTGATCATAGGACTTAATTTCTAATATTTGTTCCTCTGACCTTCTCCTCTTTGGTTGCTCCTCAGCCACCTCTCCTTTTTGTCAATGCCAGTAAGGAGTCCCAATCACTCCCATTCAAAACTCCACAAGGTCTGGTGGCGATGAAAGGGTAGAAATTCTCCTTATCTTTCTCCTGGTAATCCTTAAATCGCCACTATCCATTAGCATGTGGCAGATTTCCCCCATCTCCCCTCATCTCTTTTTTTTGTCCTGAGCACGACCACTCCTTGCTGCTGATTGGCTGGAACTGTTTCCAGACACAGCGAGCAGTATTTTTTTTTAGCAAATAAGCTCTAGAAACAAATAAGCTCTAGAAACCCACTCTACATTAGCTGCCCAGCACCACCAAAAACAGAAAAAGTTAGCAATTAGCCAGTAAACTTGGTGAAGCATTCAGCAGCTAAAGAGGCAGACGTTACCCTCGGGAGTTGGTGGAGACCAAACGAGCACCAATAAGGAAGTTAATATTAGACTTAGTTTCATCAACTATAAATGAATGCTAATGTCGCTCTGTATCTGCTGGATGCACAAATAGGTAACTGTTTGCTAACACTTGTAGCATATCAATTTAAATGGTGAAAATACTGTGTCAGGTTTAAGATCAATGCAGGTTTAAGACGAAATGGATGATGGTAGTATCACTGGATATGATTAAAGTACTGATGATGACCTAATGATAACGATCTTACAATTATGATGATGTGGGTAATGAAAGTCTTCATGTTTGCAGTCCGCTGACTTGTTGCCGTTGGCGATGGTGATGTTGTTTGACCTCCAGGACCGAAGGTTTTTGTTGCGTGAACGTTCAACAAAGGAAGGAGAGGAGCCTCTACAGGAAGTCAGGGACCTGGAGACTAGTCTGCACAGGTGTGTGTGTGTAGCTGTCAGGTGTTAACATGTATTTATATACTGCAGCTCAGAAAATGTTACATCAGCTGTGTGTTAACCATTTTTCTTAAATTAGGTAAGGTTAAATCTGGAAATCACCAAAGACTGAGATGGTGTGATCTGAAGTACATTTACCATGAATCGGTCTGTTGTATGGTGTGTGTGTTTACGTGTGTGTGAGGGTTTATACAGGTGTAAGACGAAGCTGGCAGCATCTTTAGCTCGCTGTAGAGTGAAACAGAATCTGCAGAGTGTCTCCTGTTTTCTGTCTGATTCTGTCAAGACCAAACAGCACCGAGCAAAACGTCTGCCACTTTACGCATGGGTCAATACACTCAAGACCAGGTACAGGTATTCATCTCACACTTGTTCAGAAGTTTATTCTGCTCTCATTTTTTTCTTAGTTTAGTTTATGTAAATCACAAGTTAAAATGAGAGAAGTGCAGATATAGTGAAAAAATATATTTTTCTTTTTGTGTTCTTTAGCATTGAGCGCCTGTATTTGCTAAAATATTGAGCATACTAAATGCTCGTTTGTTGGCATTTAATAGCTTTCCATTTTTCTTCTTTGCCTCACACTCAAGACTCCACACACAGTCTATTTGAGTATTAATCTGCTGGGATAGCACTGTGCACAGGAGGACATGTTGTTGCAGTACGAGGTTAATGGTTGATGAAGTTCAGTGGGGCTGAACATGAAAGTTCAGCATTCCTTTGGCTTGAGGGCAAGGAGTGCTCCTGTGGCCGTTGCTGTAGAACTGATGGGACAATGATGTATCTACATTACAGTTTGTTGTAAAATATTTTGTCTTGTACTCCGTAGTGTTGAGGAAGTGCGTGAAGCATTGCAAAGCGCTGACTTGCATGAAGTGAAGAACATGACTGACCTCAAGGATTCAACGTTCTGCAGAGACTCTCTCTGTCCAGACACACTTGTCTTCCCCCAACAGCTTCATGCGCTGCTCCAACACTGCAGCCTCACCACCACACATGTACTGAACATACAGGTAGAAATCTGCGGGTAGTGAAGTGTGTACCTGAGCTAAAAATAGGTTAAAAATCCCAAATGACAAACAGACTTTCTTCTCTGAGGAGCTTGTGAAGATAATTCTAGCAGACAGGTACAAGACTGACTGGTGGAGAAAATACTACAGATGGCAGATGAGGGAGTACAAGGGTTTATCAATTTATTTGAGTAAAAAATAAAAGTACTAACTTAAAAATGTACAGAGTTAAAGTTAAAATTACGTTTTTTAGGGAGGTCACTGGGGTCGGATATGATCAGAATGCAAGTGTAAATAACTGAGAGGAGAGATCAGACTAGATTGTTTTCAGTGAGGAAACAACATAAACATCACAAAAAATAAAGTGCACCAGCAACGTAAAGCCAGATTACTCTTGTTGTCTTACATTCTCTTACGCATCAAGAACGTTTGTCGTCTGTATGTCCACATTAATGGAGTGCACTACGTCAGTAAAATGAGTAAAAGCAAAATTAGTGGCTATACAGAACACAAAAGTCTCCAAAATGGAAATTAGAAGTTACCTAATTAAATCAAATCAGGAAAAAATGTAGTAAAATATTTTCATTTGTTTATTTCATTTGTTGGCTAATAGTCCTTCTTAGACTCATAAATACCACTTTACTTTACTGCTGTGAGAGAGATAAAAGGTTTTGCCTTTTACTCCCGCTCGATTTCCTGTTATGTGAAGTTTAAAGTCGTACATTAAGTGTAACTGAATTTAAAAAAGAAAAAAAAAAGTATGCCTCAGAATTTGCTTGAATAGCAGCACAGCAGTCTATAATGCCAGAGGCTACAGTTTTGTTATAAAAGTCCTTAATTTTTGTGTGAATAACATGTGTGCACCTGTACATGTGTGTGTGTTTGTCTCTCTGCAGGACAGGAGTGTGTGTGTGGCAGTGAGTGTGTTACGCCCCCTGCTGTTTGATAACGGTGACGTCCTGGTGGTGGGGTCTTTCTCAGGTGTGACTGTGGCTCACATAGCTGCGGTGGCTGCTGCCCGCTCGGGCCGAGTGTTGGTGTGTGGTGCTGATCACACATCTTTACAGGTAGAAGAGATTCAGGAACTACTCAAAGAAATGGACATCAAGAGTGAGTAAAAAGTAGAGACACGATATTATTTTTAAAAGAAAAAAGAAAAAAAAAGGCAAGTTGAATAATTATCTGTTGATGTTCACACTTGTGTCCCTCCACATCTGTAGATGTTCGAGTCCTGTCAGAAGCATTCAGCAGTCTGAATGAGTGGGACGCCACCGTCCAGCGCTTAAAGGTTATCATAGTGCTGCCTCAGTGTTCGTCCTCTGCCCTCAACGACCCGGTGCCCACCATCCACAGTGAACATGGAGGTATGTAATTTTAAGGAGGAAGGGATGAAATGGCGAGGAGAGAGAGAGCCCCAGGTCCAGAGTCCACCCTGAGCCCCGAGCAGCGAATCCTCACAGACTTTAAATGTCACACGATCAGTATCTGAGTGAAAGAGGGCTCCAAATGACATATGAGAAATGGGATTTGTGAAACCATGTTACCTCGACTGGGGTGTATCTTCGTCCAATAATATATGAGTACATATGATATGTTTGTTTTTAGAATGATATTAATTGTAGGTAATTACCTCGGGCACAGCCATGTGTGCAAAACATAAGATGCTAAGCTCCTAAATACTGATTTAGGAAGAGGCCCAAGCTTTTGGATACAACTGTAACTGTATATTGCTGGTGTGTTTTTTTGTTTAAATTATGGTAACTTAAATATTCCATAGACATGAGCCCTTATGGACTTATTGGGAATATATACAAATGCAGCCATTTACCATTAACATTGGAACTACGCCATAAAACAAGGTGGATAATGGAAATATGGTTCATGGTAATGTGAGTTGGTGGTGTATTTGCATTAGATCTCCCAAATATGACAAAACTGCTAAATAAGTTTCATTCTGTTGACAGACTGGGATCTATTACCAGACTTGTCTCATGGTTCTGTTTCCCAGCGCAAAATATACACAATGGCGACCCAGCAGGCACGACTATTAGCACACTCTCTGACCTGTGAGTGTACCCCACATACACACACACACACACACACACACACACACACACACACACACACACACACACAAAAGAGAGAGACATGCATGATGTTTCGAGCAGTAGTAAAAAAAAACATGATGAACCTGAAGGAGTGAATATATAAACATCACACACAAACACCGTCTGTCTTTTTTCATATAATATATACACTGGTATACTGATAAGAGGTCAGCAGAATGGAGGTTATTCTTCATTCATTCATTTCATTCTGTCCTTTTCTCCATCTGTCAGTCCCAAAGGTTCAGACAGTGGTCTACTGCACACGCTCAGTGTATCCTGAGGAAAATGAGCAGCTGGTGAAAAGAGTGTTAGAAAAAACACAGACTCACCCCAAACTGCTGCCCTTCAGGTAAACACACACACACACACACACACACACCACACACACACACACACACACACACACACACACACACACACACACACACACACGCTCTCTCTTTGTGCAGGTATTAGGTCTCTGTCTAGAGTATTTAATTATGCAATCAGACTTTTCATTAGGTTCAAACCACAAACCTAATGAGAAAACTGACATTAGTAATGAAATGTGTCCTTTACAGGACAAACATAAAGTAATAGTTTTTTTTTTTGAAAGCTAAATCTTTTACTTATGAAAGAAAGCACAACGCTGAAAGCGTGCACCCTGTTTGCCCTCTTTCCCTACCCTCCCCCTGAAACACTGCGACAGATGATTGGCAGCTTAGCTTCCCTCAAAAGGACTTTTACTTTGAAGCTGAGTAATGGTGCTCTCACTGTCACTGAGAGTCTGTCATATTGTTTTATTCTTTCATCCACCAGGGGGGTTCTGTTCTCTGAGTTCAAACAAGATGTCATTTTAGAAAACCAACCTTTATGGCTCCAATCTAAAAAACCTAATCTACTGATCCATAGCACCTATATCAACTTATAAATTGTACTGAACAGAGGTACAGTGGTGTGGTAAATCACTTTTGTTGTTTTGTAATGCTGTGTGTTGTTGACTGGTTCTGATGGACTCCAAAATGTAACACAAGTGTCAATCTGGGCACAGTTTAGGAGCCTAGGCCATGGTTCAATCAAGTCCTGTTTCTATTGGTTTGGTGCTACTTCAGCGTTCACAAGTACTGCCATGGAGATCGAGTTACTGGGACGCTGCCTCCTGCCTATCAAGGCTTTACGCATTAGCAGCAGCGCACCAAGGGTGAGCGAGAATGAATACCTTCCAAAAGTGTCTCTAATCACTGAATACAATAATAATAAGAACGTGGGAACTTATTATCAGTGTGATCAGTATGTGTTAAAGAGGTCTCTTCTCCTCTTTGAAGTAGTCAGTATCTGACAGAAAGCAACAGGAAGCCAGGAGCCACCGAGGCAGGTAAACCCCTCCTTCTAAGCTTAACCACAGCGGCAACAATTGTAACGTGATAACCTCTTTCAAGGAGTATAGATTAGCATATCTAACATATCAGAGACTTGTTAGAAAGCAAGGGGCCTTACCAGAAAATGGTTGAAGAAGCCTTGGATCAATGAAAGGACAGGACCAAAAAGGTGAAAAAGATTCAAACACTTTACTCAAGCTGGTAAATGACCAAATAAAGATGCAGAGTCCTGTTTTCTGAGACTCTTATAGAGACCCAACACCAATCTATTCTTAGACTGAGCGGAAAACACCACTACGCTCACAACTAGGGCAACACACAGCACCTTCCAGCAGCACGTGGTAAACCACAGACTCTTGACATACACAATACAAGACATATCATGAGCGAAATAAATTTTTCCACCTTGGAACTGCAGTGAACTAATGACAGACATGGTTTCATAGGTCATATACCTATCAAACCAATCCCGCCAACTTGTGGGAACGTGGGGCGGGAAAAATAAACCCAAAACTTTGTCAGACAAAGGTCCCATGGCCTTTTGAGCCCTTTCTCACTCCTCAACAAACTCCAGAGTCTGGGTCTGACTGAGGCTCAAACATGTGGCTGAGTTTCACCATCTTACACTCTTTCAGTGGTCAACCTAGTGCAAGCAGTGGTGGTGGGCGGGGCACAAGGCCTGATCCGTAAAAACAAATAGCTCAACAGGTGCTCATGCAACACTTGCATGTAACTGTAACAGAGCTTAGTGTAAATATGACAGATATAGCCACACATCTACACGTGTGTATATGTCAGTTTGTGTGTGTGTGTGTGTGTGTGTGTGTGTGTGTGTGTGTGTGTGTGTGTGTGTGTGTGTGTGTGTGTGTGCTTGTGTAAGGTTACAGTTACCAGGCTGATGACAATGTAAAGGATCAGCTGTGGTTGCCGTGGGAACAGCAGTAGTTAATCCCACAGTCAGGGTAAATGTCTGTTTTACACCTGCTTCTGCACAGAAGTCATTTTCAACCATCCATCCACTTAAAGAAATCCAAATGTTATTAGTTTTGGTCACATTAGCTCTTTTATCAACTGACTGATGTGCAAAGAGACAATCAGCAGCTGTTTCACCTGTGTGTTTACACTACTTGTTGAAGAAACTAGATCTTTTAGAAGAACTGACACTATAGTTTGCACCAAACAACTAGACGGTAGAAACTAACACTTACAAACTGACACTAAACATCTTTCTTCATATATGAAAAAGGTGCTTTTAATCAAAGCCGAAAATATAAAAGAGGAGCAATTTATTAATAAGATTTGAATTAAAACCATTAAAAAAGTAAGAATAAAATAAGATTAAATAAAATAATAATTAAGACCAATAGTTGACCAATAAAAATAATGAGTTAAAAAATAAAATAAAATAATATTTAAGACCAGCAAACCAGACTACTGAAAGGCACAGCTAAAAAGGAATGATTTCAATTTAGTGTAAAAGACGATAGCGTCAGTGCACACCTGATATGACAGAGTAAAATGTTCCAGCCACTTGGAGCATAAAAGCTAAAGGCAATTTCACCACTTTTCGTGGAGATCCAGGGAATAACCAGACGGGCTGTTCCAGATGAACTGGGTGTAAAATCACTGCAGTGTATCTGATAATATTCCTGTTTATCTGCTAAAATATTACTGAAAATATTCTTGTAACAAATTATCAGAACTTTTAAAAACGAAATAAATGATAAATACCAATTATATACAACCATTAATACCAAAATAAAGTAACTGGAAAGAGTCTGTCTCTTTTATATACACACAAATAACATAGACAATCAAATTAATAAACTGCACAAATCCTTCATCCCACAAATAGATTAACAAGAGAACCTTCTTATTATGTGAAGCCTGACCTTTCTTGCTTTCATCATCAATTAGTACCGAAATTATATACAATCATAAATACCAAAATAAAGTAACACACATTGCTAACATAACTCTCTCATAGATAAATAGATACCAATATAAACAAGACACACACATGTTGGTCAGGGCCACAGGAAGATGTTTTAAGTTGGGGGTGCTGTAGTGGGAGGAGTATATCTACTACAACTACACACACCAAAAAGCAGCAGCAGTAACAACATCCGCAGCCAGGTCTATAAAAAGGACTAAGTAATGCTACTGCACAATAATAGCTCACAATAATGCCATAACATTGAACATTGCAATACACATGTCCAAAAGCCCATTGCACACAGCACACAAGAACATATACAAATATGCACGTTTTCAACAGAGTTATATCAGTGTGATGTTCAAAGTAATTGAAAGCTGAATATTAAACTGCTCGGCGGCAGCTTAAACCAAATAACTTACCTTGAGCTGCAGACAATGTGCTCCAGTAGTTATAATAATCCAAATGTGGCCTTCAGGACGGCCTGGGTCCAGCTCCCTCAGAAGGTGAACGGGCACCACATCAACCTGTTTCCCTCTGCCGCCTCTTCACACGAGCAAAACACACAACCTGACCACACTCCGCCAATGAAGACACTTCCATTTAGCAAACCAAGTTGGTGTAAATGCACGGCTGAAAGTTTCTTTCCCAAAACATCTGGCCCGAAAAGTTGAAGTTTGGTGGCCGGAGAGGTTCCTCACATGGCGCCAGGTCAGTCCCAGCCTGACACCTGTTGGCAGCAGACTCCTCCGTGGTGGCGGTGCTAACGCTAAACTCCGGCGAGTCTCGGCGGTAATTACAACCAAACCAAAGCGATGCCGTGCTGGTGGAGGTGCTCTCCTGCAGGCTGGACTTCATCTGTGCTCTCTTTAGCTGGCGGATTGCCAAAAAGATCTGCAGTACGTTTTTCCTCCATTGTGATTTTATCCTTCGATTAGCCATCAATGCGGATGTAAACTTCTGAACCCTACTACAGAGTTGACATGACCCGCCTCTGATTGGCTAACCATCGTTGCCTTCGCTGGTTGGATTTGGTGAGGTTTAGGCATGAGGAGTGAGAGTGGTAAGGGTCAAAGTAAGAAGCATAGACTGTATATAAAAAGTAAGAAGTCTTTCTGAGGCAGAGTAGAACTGGTCATGTTAACACTATAAGAACATTATGCTCCTGCTGCAGCACCTGCACCTGTGACTGATTTTACTAATTGCATTAGTTCTGTACAGATATAGATGTTCAACCTCCCCCACCCCCCTCCCCATTTACACCGCCTCTGAGAATAGAAAGAAAATAGTCTCTCTCTATATATATGACATAGATATATAGATAACAATATAAACAAGACACACACGTGGTGGTGTGCAGACTAGTTTATTATTCTAAACGATTTCTCAGTATAATGAATGAATTGTGGTTTATTTGGCAGCTTTTCCTGCTGTGACTGATTTTACTAATTGCATTAGTTCTGTACAGAGATAGAAGCGTAACCCCCCACAGCCACCTCCCCGTCTACACCATCTCTGAGTGAGAGAGGAGACCTTCTCAGCTCAAGCTGCACAAACTAGAAAGGGCGCCCACTCTGATCCACATGGTGACACGATGAGCAAATGTAACATATGTGAGCGCCCATGTCGCCCCCAACAAGACGCCGGCTGTCCATATCTAAATCCGCCATTGAGCACACCATTAAGATAGATTTTGGTACAGATTTATTGGTCCACTGAGAATTAACCAACATTTGCTAGCGTATTTAAGGCTGAGGGCCGTTCCACCAGATGTACAATATAGTGGAACCAGCAGTGACAGCTGGCTGGACAGGGCCTCATAAACATGCTCATACTGACTGTTTGCCTAGAGACACTGAGAAGTATAGTCGTCCAACTCCCCCGTCCATTTATCTACAGTTCACAGTCGAGCATGTCTGCTGTTGCAGTGATGTTGACCATAATCTGATGTATGTCCAAATATTATTACTAGTGGTTATTGTGCCTAGTACTGAATCAAGAAACCAGACGAAGAATCTACATACAATCAGCTCTGTGAGGTTGTAGGTGTAGCCAACACAGTGGTGCCTTGAGCTAACATTAGCATGCTTACATGGTCATAGTGACCATGTTGATGGTGAAAAGGTGCAATGTTTAGCATGTTCACAATCTTAGTTTAGGATGTTCATACGCTAACAAATACTAATTAGCACAAAATAAAATGTACATCTGAGGTTGATGGAAATGTCCTTGGTCATAAACCAAAGTCTTGGACAAATGAAAACCGTGACCTGCATGTGGCGCTAAATGAAAAGTCAGGATATCACTAAAAATCATTAGGATTCATGGTGTGGGGACATCTGAACCAAACTGAATGAAAATCTTGCCAATTGAGCCATTAAAAAACAAAAACTTCTTCCTCATGGTGGTGCTAGATGAAAAGTGTTGGACTGACAGACCGGCATTGCCATCCACCGAGCCACCTGCTGAACACACTCAAAAACGAAATATTAGAGGTGCCACATGAGGTTGATTAAAAAAATTATAAGTTTTTGTATTTGCCTGTCAAAATTATTTATGGTACCTTGGTGTAATTTCCAGTGTGAAATTTCTTATGTGCAATTTACATACGTAGAATCTTTTTTGACAACTTCTCTGGGAGTTGTAGTTGCTCTGCGGTCTCACCTGCTGCTGTGCTCCTCTCTCAGGGTGAACGGTCCGATTTTCCCTGATGACTCCCAGTCAGGAGACGCAGCAGACTCCAAATTCTTCAGGCTCGAGCCATCTCAGTTCACCAACGGCTGCTTTATAGCCAGACTGTCCCGACAGGTGAGAGAGCAGACAGTGTGAGAGGGAGTGATAGAAATGTAGAGGGCAAGGTTGTCTTTGGAGATTGAGGGGGAGCAGAGGTTTTGGTGTGGTGCGTGTGTGTGTGTGTGTGTGTGTGTGTGTGTGTGTGTGTGTGTGCGTGCGTGCATGTGCGTGTGTGTGTTAGGGTCTGTTTGTTTGAGCGCTGTGTGTGATTGCTTTGCGACGAGACCTTCCAGTAGTGCTGAGGCTGCACTCTTTTACTGTCTGTCTGCTGGGAGGTCGGTCGGCTCTGCTTGTCTGCACACACACACACACACACACACACACACACACACACGCACACACACACTATTTCTCCCTGAAACACTGCAGCATTATTCCAATACTCCATAAAAAAGAGACAAGTTAAAGATGAAATACGCCCCAGCCGCTGAAACATTTCAGTACTTCAGAGCAAAGATGAATGGATAATTCTCTGTATCGTTCTTCCAGCCATCCCTCCCTCCCTCCACCCCTCCGGTCTTGTTGCATCACCTCATTGCTTCATCTATTTGCCCCCTCCTCTGTCTTCCCTCTTGCTCCACTCATAAAACGAAGAAAAATACAACAGAAGGAAATGAGATGCTACTCCTTTGATCCCCTGCAGCTCGAAAAAATGGTGCAGAGAGGGGACTGTGCTGTTGTGTGTGTGTGTGTGTGTGTGTGTATTGGAAAGATATGAACAAACACGCACACACACACACACACACACAACAGCACATACACAGGGACAGATCCTGCTCACCTTTCCAGTTGCAGTGCATTCATTTAAAATCTAATGCTCATGTCCAATTAAATGGACTTTCTCTCTCTCAGTGAGTCAAGTCACATGCAGTTGCAGATTCAGTTACACTGACACTTCTGACGTGGTTCAGCACGGCTCAGACGACTGAGTCCACTGGTCAAACTCTGCCGGTGGATGAAGGGATCTGAAAGAGATAGAAAAGAAGGGGTAAGGCAACAAAAAGTCCCCTTGAAATCTGTTTTTTATGTCTGTATAAAATTTCACGGCAATCCATCCTATAATTGTTGAGATATTTTAGTCTGAACCAAAACTGTAGGACAGAAGGCCCGACCCCACAGAAGGGCTGAAACAGACATTCTCATTAGAAAGAGGATCCATCTGAAGAAAAAAGAAGAACTGAAATATTATGTTAAACTCATCTGACAGGCTGCTATCAGTTGTGACTCTCTGTAGCATACTGCGTAATCTTCCACGTATTATAACAAACTCTCATTGTGGCAGCGTAATTAAAGTTTTGAGGCTTACAAATGACTCAAAGCAGAAAATGCTGTCAGAGTGAAAACCAGATTAAACACTGAAGAGTGAATGAAAGATGCATTTGCAGTATTTTAAGCAGTGAGCTGAACATCATTCAACTTTCATTAGAGAAGACAGTTTATGAAGATTCAGACTGACAGACGGAGATAGAGGGAGGAGGAAGGAGGACGGGGGGGGGGTTAGATGTGACATTTACTCTTTAAAATTAACTGTGGATGAAGACACCCTTTTACTCTTGTGCACACGTAGTGCTAAATTTGTGAGTGCTGTTTTGGTGTTAAAGGGACTGCTGGCTACAGCTTGTTTTGGCCCTGAATCACTGAGCACCTTGTAAAACATATTAGGAGTCCTCTCCACTCTCCTCTTCAGTTTTTATCACTGCTATCGGCAGGACTCTCTGCTCCGTCGATTGGTCAGTCCAACAATTTGGTCCAGACTGAAATATCTTGACAACTATTGGATGGATTGCCATGACATTTGGAACAGACATTCATGTCCTCTCAGGATGATTGCATCACCGCTGGCAGTTGTGGCGAAATCCGATATTAACGATGATTCTGTCCACATGTCCTTTTATAAGAGCTACAGTAAACTCTGATTGTTTGTATCTGGTTTCACTTGCTAACGATCTGCAACAAACACATGACACGACAAAATAAGCTTATTTAGCCTTTTTATCTGCTGCGGCTCCAAGGTTAGCACTAGGCCTTGCCACCTTGGAACAATGTGCAAACGCTCCAAAGCTTGAATAACAGGTGTCTGTCCTGTTCTTCCCATTCTGCCGACACGGCCTGAATGCAGCATATGTACAGTCTCACGGAGCTGACAGCATCGCCATAAAGTCTTATGAAGGGAGAAGGGAGAAAAGATAAGTGGTTTATATCCCACACTCTGCTCTGTGGGGATGTAAAAGCATCAAACCCCGTGCGATCCCTCCTCTTCACTCCTCCTCCACCTCCTCTGCAGGGTCACTTTAAGTCTGCATTTTGTTGTATAGATCTCCTTGCTGCTAAGCTACCCTTGGAGACCTGTAGTTTTAATGTGTTACATCTTCACATCAAATAAACTTAAACTGCCCCTGCTTTTTCAGGCGGATCCCACTAAGGTAGAAACAGTCCAGGACGTGTTGGCAAGGGCAGCAGCAAAGGGCCTCCTGGGTGGAATAATTCCTGAACAGTCAAAAACTGGTAAAAGGGGGAAAGGCAGGAAGAATCGTGTAGCTTCAGCCACCAGCAAACCCTCATCCCCCTCCGGCCAAGAGACACAGACAGAAAGAGGTAAAGGAGACTTCAAGGGTAGTGAAGAGGAAGAGGAGTATAAGAAGGAGGAAGATGAGGGGGGAGAGGAAGAAAAGAAGGGGAGAGGGCTTAAAGGGCGCAAGCGAAAGCTCAAGCTACGACCAAAACAAATCAGCAGGGCTCCTGCAGTCTCCAAGCATCACCCTAAAACCCACAAGAAGAAACCAACGAAGAGAAAAATCAACCAATCACATCACAAGAAGCGTCTGACAAAAAGTAATCCAAGACGAATACCTCGTCTCACACTGACGTTAATGTCCTCTGCAAAACCATCCAACCACTTGTCTCCAATCACAGCCCTTGCGCACAAGCTAAGTGACAATCCAGTGGTCAAATCACAGCAGACTGTCCTTGGCGCCGCTCCCCCTGCTGGAAAACATCTCTCACCTGCTCGTCCTGCTCCACCTACTCCCCCCGCAGCCTCCAAGCAGGTGCAGAGACGAAACACACAGCCTGACAGTGCAGTGAAGACACTGAAGGATGCAGCTAAACCAGCGAGCCCACACAAGGCCGGGAAAATGATGGTCAGACCAGAGGAAGTGTTGAAGGCCGTAGATTCTGGCCTTCCACCCATTTCCTCCCGGTCCTCTAGTTCTCTACGCAGCAGGACCGGCAGTTCTCTCTCCCAGCCTCTGTCCCAGACCTCCGACTCTCAGCGCTCCAACATGTCTGCATCCTCATCCCGAATCTCTCTGCCTGGATTATAAATCATCAACATCATACAGCAAAGCACTCCCAAGTAAATTATTCTGAATTGTTTAAGAAAGAAAGAAAGAAAGAAAGAAAGAAAGAAAGAAAGAAAGAAAGCAAGAAAGAGAGAAAAGAAAAGAAAATATTGTATTTACATTTTCATGGAAGCATACATATTTTTGATGAGCTGGATGTTGAGGACACTAGTGATGAGGCATCAAATCAGTTGATTCATTAGCTGATCAAAAGAAATTTGATATTAATAACTGCTATCACAGCAAGTCATTACTCAGGTAAAAATGACAAACATAAACTCAAGTGTGGAATTTTGCGGCACTTCTCTGTTTCATGATTGAACTGTAAATGAAGTCCTGTTAAATATTTAACAGTTAGGGACTGTACGCAAATTATAGCAGGGGAGGGTCGGGGTCAGAAAAGGTGGACAGGCATGTATTTTATGTTCTGCAGTAGAGAGGGTAGTTCCAGTTTTCATTATTCCAGATTAATATTTTAATTCCTCCCTTGTGATACTTAATGTAAAAGTATATATATGATATTATGTCATAAATAGGAGGCTTTTCATTCACAAATGGCATGATAAATGATCAGTTCAATGATACTGTTATACGACATTGAGATATTAGAAGGAAGGTTATGAAATTTATCTATTGCACAAAGGAGTTCCCAAAAAAAGTATTAACACCTGGTAGGGTCTTTAAGCATCTGTCTTGACCTTAATAGTTTATTAATAAATAATAATACATAGAATTTTTGCTTTCTTCTGCTTTATAGTGAATACTTTTACCTCTTGAAACTTTCTTTGGTTGAACTGCACACAACTTTTGTTCTGAGGCATCACAGGGCAAAAAACACTGGGAATAAACCAGATCAAATAAGAAAAAAAGAAAAAAGATGAAACAATAAAAAATAATCATTGCTTGAAGCCCTAATGCACACACAGACACACAAAAGCCAGGTGGTGTATTTTATAATGCTGTTTATTCTCACAATTGGTTACATTGATAAAGTGTACAAATCAGTGAGCAGCAAACGGAAGCCAGCACATCCATCTGTGGGAAATGGAGTGTGTGTGTGTGTTTTTGTTGTTGTTGTTTATGTATGTGAGCTTGACAGAGACGCTGGGAGTCCACTGCTGTTGCCATCATCATCATCATCGTCTTCCTCCTCCCCTTTCACTCCTCCTGTTCAGACCAGCAGTGGACCTCCAGCTCTCAGGGCACTGTACAAGGTGAAGATATATTCCTTTATCTGCCTTTTTCTGCAAAGCGGCGCTTGTTGTAGCATTGTGAGTTAACCAGAGACTGAGACAACGACACTGAGTCAAGAGACTTTACTTGCCCCAACTAATAAAATCAGTATATACCTTTATAAAATAGAATAAATAAAATAAAAAATATTTCTGTTCAGTACATACAGTCGCTCTTTCAACCGTCCAAGGGCATGCAAGGCTTTTTACGACTTTCCATTTCTCGAGATCAAAAGAATGCATAGATAATTGCTCAGTTAAATTCAGTATCAACTTAAGTGACAACTGTGAAAATTTCCAATCACCTCTCCTGTTGTCATTATTTGCTCTCGTATTTTTCTTATCTACAACAATGTATATCAGTATTTTACACTTTGGCCATTTGGTGAGTTGTCAAAAAAGGCATTTCATTTCAAGAAAAATAATAGAAAACTAAAGACATTCAAAAATGAAAAGATAGCTTATAACAATGATTAATGCCAAATATTACATTAAATGGATTTTATGTACACAACACATTTTAGTCATCTCATTCACATTTCAACATCCTTGTGACAAAAGAAGGTGACGTGGCTGAGTTTTCTCAACAAAATCTCAATTACACTCCTAGTTCCTTCCTCTGTATGTTAAATGTTGAGTTGAATATTAACAGAGAACAAGCAGGTCACAGCTTCAGCTGTAACAATCTGACCATTCACGAAGTCCTGTCGCTACGCCTGTCAAGCTGTCCTTTCTCACACAGCACTTATCAGGTTACAACGACAATGGAAGATTTCACTCTCAAAATCCGCAGTAATGAAACAATTGTTCTTTCACACACACAGAAACAAATAAAGCAGCTTCTCATTTCTAACTATCAACTGTGGATTTTGTTGGCTGAAAGATAAACTAGCAGATTTAATCAGCTGTTTGCACCTAGCATAAGCTGCAACTCTGAGTTAGTTAAAGATTGCTATTCAATTTTTCTCAAACTGACTAATTTTTAAACTAGATCCTTGTAAAAGCGCTCCTGAATATGCACTTGATGGGTAATACACAAGATTGTGCTAAAAGACAGACACTAAAGCTGCATTTCCCTTCGCAAAAAGTCAGTATCACCAGCTGATGATAATGTAACTCACATGGCAATTAAGGAGCAGCAGTGCAGTAATATAAACAAAGATGTAATTATATATGATTATATATTAATAATGTTATTCTAACATAATCCTTGGATGATGCTAATTATAGAAAAAACATACTTGGAAAGCAACACAGTGTGTGGAGTTTGGCTGAAGCTGGTGGAGTATAAATTTCCCAAATTAAAAACAAACAGCAGGACATTACTCTGCACTCTGTTAGACCGTCATTGTGGCTCCTACAGGGTGGACGTTCCAGTCCTGAGCGCATGTTTTTCTATATTACTGTAGCATACTGTACATCCAGGTCACAGAGTTAACCACTGGTTTCTCTAAAAGATGACTAACACAGAAGCTGGTTCAACAACAACACTGTGCTGACAGTATTTTCAGAATCCCCAAAGACTCCTCCAATGAAAAAAAAAAAAATCTTCCATCTGCTGAATGATAAAAAAGATTTGAGACTCTCTCTGTCCAGGTAGTTGGCTGGCTGCCATCTTTGTTTTGACTCATAAACAACTTTTATCAGTCAGTGAACTGATGATTTTTTTTTCATCCAGATGGTTAAAGAAACCTTTTGGGATTCTGGAAATACCTCCATGAAAATGGTAAGTGTCTCTACCAAATGACATGCTCCTTGCCTTTGGAAATTACTACTGTATGTATCAAGTCAGTTAACCGAGCATACTGTTTGGCATTTACGTTATAGCATATAAACACATGCTTTATTCCATTCCTTTCAACTGTGCTGTTTTGATTTTGGATTTGGAAAAAGCCACGAAAGAGACACCACCATTCAAACTGTCAGATAGCGAGTGTCTCTCTTACTACTGCCCTGTCCACACCGTTTCTGCATGTGGAGAGATCCAAAGCTTGACAGGCGGTTTAGCAAAAGGTCAGATGTTCAGCATCTACCTGCTACAATAAAGAACTTCACTAGAAATGATCATACATCCAAGCTTGTTGGGTATGTGATAATAAGGAGCTAGAAGTGAATAGTTGAGATTTGTGTGAGGAAAAAAAAACACAAAAAACAGAGAAAGAAGCATGTGATCTTGTGGCACTGATGAAAGTAGATGTACAGTAAGTAAGTAGGCAATGAAAGAAAAAATGGAAGGCGCATTCAAGTGAACAGAACCCTGGAGACAGATAGAAAGCAGCCCAGGAAAGTCCTGTTGATTTAAGTCAACATGTCTCTCTGTTGGCTTTCCTCTCAAATGGCCAAGGCTGGAGATAAAATCGCTCTCTCCTTCTCACCTCCTCACAGTTCAGACAACATCATCGCAACCATACCCAGGTATAAAAACACATTCCTCAAGTCTTCTTTTTCTCCCTCCAGGCTTTCCTATGCCGCCAATCCTCTTTTATTAGTGGACATGAGGTCTCTGAGGACTGATACTGAGGTGGGATTTAAAGTCAAATTTCCTCCAGCATGTGTATCAAAGAGCAGCAGCAGCAGCATGCTGACGTCTCCGTGTTTGGAGCAGCAGTCTAGTACTGTTTACCAGAACGCAGGGGAGCAGAGGAGAGAGGGCTAACACTGTCCATCCCCGCGTCTCTTCCTCCACTATGGCTATCGTCTGTCATTTTCCGAGGGATAACAGAGGAATAAAAACGAGATGTAAACATAAAGCATATGTAGGATGTTCTCGGGTGAAAGGTCACCGCTCGTTTAAACCCCTCCAAGCTGATTCTTGCACAGTTGATGAGAAAAAAAAAAGAGATAAGAAGACAGGATAAACAATGTGGCTTCTGATTTCTCACCCCTTCAGTCTCTGAAAGCAGCAGCAGTGTATTGATATTGTCTAGTATGATTCACCTTTCTATAAAAATTTCATGCAGGATCAGTTGAACAGATGAGTGTGTGGACTGTAATGGCCAAAACTCTTTAGCCTGTAGCAGCTCCCTTCTTTCTTTTGTTCATTGCTTACTGATCAGACACGAAAATCAGACATGATGGCTTTCATGATTCCTTCCTTCCATTGACTCACTAACTTGTATGTTACAGGCTACTGAGGATAATGAGAACGAGGGACAGAGGGGGGGAAAGCCACTACAGACTAACAGGACAACCAGGTGAATTGACAGCGGGATGTGGCCAGGTGTGCAAGGTCATGCTGGCAGCACAGGCATAGACACAAATACAATAAGATCACGGAGAGATCAGCAGTTTGGGCAGCAATGAGCTCACTCATCACACGTGCTGTGCTTGAAGGAGCACTTCCTACTTCAATATTTGCTCTCTTCTCCGCACTCCTTCTCTGTGCTGAGGGGGATGAGAGTTACTTCTATGTACACCAACATCGTTACGATCGTCATTCAGAAGTTTCTCGTGGTTGTTCCTTCTTGATGTGGGGGTTGAGTCTTTAATCATCTTAGTTATTTTGAGGAAACAGACTTGAATTGCTGCTCAAGAGCTGATAAAACTCTTGAGTTGAAATTCCAAGTTGCTCCAGAAAAGCGAAGGTATCGTGACATGGTTTCCCAAACCCTGGGGCTTTGCTGTGTTTCAGTGGTTACTGGGGTCTGTGGTGGCGACGGGTTTTGGCAGCAATGTGACTAGTTACCATGGTGACTGGGGGTTGTGGCAGGGAGTCGGTAGTGCTTCGCCGTGGTTACTGTGGCAACTCGG